GTATATATGATATAATATGATAATATGATGTACAAATTAAAAAAAATGTTTAGGCCCTAATTATCCTCACGTCCACGTTCAGTCTTGCAAGTTACAATCTCGTGGCTGTAATGGTCCTTAGTAGGACTTGTGGCGGCCATGTAGATAACCACGACGAAGACGAAAAGTGTTGTAGTTCTACATTTACAGTAAAATTAGGGAGCGTTTATTTGAGTATAAACGTATCCATTTTACATCAAATTTGAATAACTACGGTAAGTTCCGTGGTAAGTTCTACTTCAATTTAGCTATTCATCAACGCCTGTTCAGAGTCTGGATGAGTCCACAGTGACAGCTCTGTGAGCTCGACCAAGCACCGGGGTAATCCCCTACTCATCTCGAAAGATGTACTGGGTTCTTAATGCACATGAGCCAATTGTGTACGGTTTATAGTCTTTATCGGAGAAGACTCGTTCCACCTCTACTCCAGAACCATAGGTGAGCGTGCCGTTCGAATGAGCTCCGATATTAAGCCGGTTTTCCACTAGGCGAATTTATTCGCGCGAATCGAAATCGTCGGTTTATGCGCACGCGCATTCACGTTTTTATTGGAATTTTCGCTTCAGCGAAATCGGTAGTTCGAAATGTTTCTGCTTTTTGAGAAGCGAAAAAAATGCGCAACCAATCAGAGCTCGGGAAGTGAACCGACGCTTTCCATTCGCACGAATAAATTCGCCTATAGTGAAAAACAGGCTTTATGGCTGTGTAGATTGCCTTAACCGCTGGCCATTCGACTCGCAAGTTTTCCAAGTACTAACCTACTTTTACACGTCACTTTCAAGTGTTTTTATCACAAAAAGTAATATTTTTTGTACTTTTTTTTGTAATTTTTTTTTTTTGAAAAGTACTTTTAAAAGTATTTTTACAGTATACTAATTCAACTAAAGACCAGCTGAAATTCTTCAAGTATTTTCATCACTTTGTAAAGGAAACCCCGGCATCATAATAAGATAAAAACAGTTTTATTGTAACCGTTGTTATTTCTTAATTTAGTTAAAATTGCAATAAGTACAATAAGTTGATTTTCAGAAACGTGATGACCATTCGACTCGCAAGTTTTTCAAGTTCTATCATTCGACTCGCGAATTTTCCAATTTCTATCCGACTTTTACACGTCAGTTTCAAAAGAGTTTATATCACAGAAAAAGTAAAAAAAATTCAATTTTGTTGTACTTTTTTTTGTACTTCTTTTTTTTTTTTTTTTTTTTTTTGTAGTTTCCTTTTTTGAAAAGTACTTTCAAGGGTATTATTACAATAATACTAATTCAACTAAAAACTAGATGAAGTTCTTCCAAGTATTTTCATCAAATTTGTAAAGGAAACCCCGGCATCTTAATTAGATAAAAACAGTTTTACTGTAACCGTTATTTCTTAATTTAGTTGAAATTGCAAGTGAGTTGATTTTCAGAAACGTGATGACCAATTTAAAAGTATAGCCCTAATACTGCTTTCAAATAAACGCAAAAGTAGGTAATTCTGCCAATGGGAGACTATGCCCTCTATGATAAAAAACAATATCCATCCGCAATCTACACAGATTGGCGGCGCGCTATACTAAAATGTGATAGACTAAAAAACAGTTTTCATTTTGATATTAATGGAACGGCAAGACCATTGAAATACAAATAGATAATATTAAAAAAAAATTATATTTATTTCTTTACCATAATATCTGCCATCATCATGTCTGTTTTCTGCTTTCCTTACAACTTCCACAGGACCTATTTTTGTTATTTGATTATTTTTTTCTAGGCCTTTCTTGCTTCTATCTCTCATCTCTGCAAAATGGTAATATCTATAATAACATGTCGCTAATCATTGCAGTGAAATAAAAAAGGATGAAAAATATGTCGCTAAGCCTTTAAATGTATGTCCAAACCACTTGAGTTTGCTGGTTATTTACAATTGTTGTAAGTTATCATTAATTCGGTCTCTAAAATCATTTGTTACATGCTGAGGTAAGTAGTTAAACTGCGGTGGTGGAACTTTCCTGTCATTCGACCGTATTCTTCCCTCCTGTTATACCACTACTTTACCTTCCATACCAGAAATATCGTTTACGCACAGTAATAGACTATTCCTCTAATCATCCTCCCCCACCCCGGCTTTTGGATATTGCTGCTAATGTCGTATAAAACGACAGTGTTAAAACATACTGTACGCACGTGCGTGTTTCTGTTGACAATAATTAATTTGTAAACAAATTTAGACAATACAACAACTCCATTCTGACTAAAATGGTTGCATCCAGCACTGTTCGATATGCAAAAAAGGCATAGTCGTATAATTGTTGGACTACATTCTGTACAGATTAGACAAATTCGCTGGCTGTGAGGTAATAAAGTGGCTCCAGATATTTGCAGGGAGCTGAAAGAAACAGGACATTCCTGTACAAAAAAAAGTGACATGAGTGTAAATGACGTGGGGAACCGTCTTCTGACATGTCAACCAAAACTAGTATAATTTATTCTCATAAATGATCCCCCCGCCACCCAAAATAAGAAAAGAAAAAGCTGCTGACTATTTACCAACATTTTCTGTACATCTTTTTTACCCACTTAAGCGTGTTAGGGGTGTGGGCGTAGGTCAGGACGTCGACGTCCTCCTCAGGAGTATCATGTTTAGTTAATCATTATTTGAAGCCCAGCAGGCCAAATATTGCAAGTATTGCCACATATAGAAGATTAATATTCTAAATCACAATATTGAATGCTACTCGTCTTTGAATAATTTAAGAAAGACCTTTGCAATTATGAAAGACAAATTTGAATACAGTACTGTAAATTGTGAAAAGACGTTAAAATAGTTTTAAAGGTTTATATCGATTCTGGCTGGACAAACTTTTTGGATCCTGATCCTTGTCTCGATACCAGAGTGCTAGTCGTAAAGTTATCTTTGACGCTTCTTTCTCAAACAAAGTAGCACCAACAAATTACCTTTTAAATAAAGTACTGTGAGCCAATAATTTTGTTATGTTGACAAAAGCATGTAAGATATTGATAAAAAAAAAACTATAGTAAAAACTGGATTGTACAGTACTATGCTAAAATAATGTTGTGATAGATGTAGACATTCTTTATTCTTCACGTATTGACTTATTATAGTGATTAATATGGTCATTTTATATTTAGTGAAAACGCCTTTGCATCAGCCGCACTCACTGAAGTGGCACGCTCTATTTACCTAATGAATATTACTTTGATCTTTCCACTATACCGTAGGCCTACTAACGTAATCTGAATAATAAATTCTCACATGCGTTGTTTTTGTAACGTGAAAAGTCCTCGTCCAATATTTGGTATATTCATGTTATTATGTAAAATTATTTTTTTACGATATTTTATTGGACATAAATAGAAATGCCAAGACACCTAAAAGGATACTGGTGCTACGATATATTTCTTCCAGATTTGTGCACGCGTCTGAAGGTAAACTTTTGGTCCTTAAATCAAGTTAGTATGATGATGATGGCATATTGAACAATTAATTTAATCAAAACTATCAAACTGTGTTAACTTTTCAGCTGTTTCACAGCAAATCTCAGTAAATCACCCAGACACTAGAGTACGAAAATTGAATTGATTCTGTCTGCAGGTATCATTAAATATATTAGATAAATCCTATTTGTACCTCCGTTTGGCTAAGAATCGAATTTTACTTAGGGCAGATATTGTCACTTAAACCTACCGTTTATGGTTGATTGTATTCAAGCATTTACTGCAAAATAGGTTAAATATTTTTCTCTATATATAGGATGACTAATTATGAAGTAGTTAAATACGATTCTAGAATGCTATTACATTGTTAAAGTTAATTGGGAAGCTAGTGAGGAGCAACTCAAAATCAATTGAGATCCATTAAGAACAATTTTTTGATGAAATCTCAATTTCCATTGCCTAACTTAATTACTTATCCTTATTTAAGGAAGAATTTTGAATTTGAATAATAGAAAACTAAA